AAGATCAGCAAAAAATGGAAAAGATTACACAGTCTGGATACAAAAACAATTGGAAGGTAACAGAAAGAAGGACTTTGCATGGTGGTACCCCAAGAACCGAAAGAGTATGGAGGTCATTGATACTTTTGCGGAAGGAAATTTAGCGGACAGAAGATTGGAAGATATGAGAGCTATCACAAATTTTGCCTATTATTCAAGCAAATTAGGACGAAACAAAGATAAAGCAAGATGAGGAATAAGGAGACGCCTGGATCAAGGACCTATGGTTATGCAGAGTAAAAGGGATCACAAGGGAGAAGCATTTGAAGAAGATTTGAAGAAGCTTTCAGTGAATGCAATCTGTTTGAAGAAACAACTACAACTTTAAAGGTATGATAATCACAAGACTAAGGAGACGGATAATCACGACCGCTTCAGGAATTCGGAATTATGGCTACTAGGTCGGAGCAAAATTGGATAGAAATCCACCCGACATGCAGCAGATACTCACAGTTGACGCGGAGTATGCGGGTTGAATGACAGAAATGAGCAATAGAAACAATGTATGATTGCTGCCAGCTTTGAAATCAGAGCTTATACGCTCTGTTCGACGAGGCTATAGAGTAAGTGCCATCAAAGGCTTAAGATACAGTGCCTGAAGTAAAACATATACTGCGACTGAAACCGAGGGAAATCTGTCAATCAGCAGGATAAGAATCAGATATACCTGGTCATAAGGCAGATTCTATGTGAGGTCCAAGTAGGATCAGCAATTCTGGCAAATCGAAACGGAGGAGCGGCAAGGTAGATACAAGCAGGTGTGATAACGCCCCACTAAACTCGCCAAAAATGGAGTATAATATACACGAATTTGAAGATTTGATAAAAAGGGAGTGAGCTAAGAGGGTAGGGAGTAGGTGGATGTACTAGGACAGAGCGAGAAGGAATAACATAACCGTTTGGCAGAAAGTTGGTCAAGTGCTTGACCTCCCTTGTCTCTTTAACGAGTTGTATCTTGATGATGCCAACTAAAATTCAGGCGTAACGTCTGAGAATGTACCGAGTCCACCGCCTAAAGCTGGGAATTAGCATAGCCACAATAGTTGAGGCCTTATGACAAGCTGCGTCCAGCTAGGTCCCCCTGACAACACGATCAATTTGCGAAAACGAGATCAGACCACTTCTAAACACCAAATGGAGACGGTGACGAACATAGAGGTTACAAGATCTTGGTTTTCATATATACGCTTAGATTTATAACTTTGGGAATCGAAAATTGGCCTCGTCAGCAAACAGAGGATTACAATGAAACTGTAACCGTTGGAGTGTGCAAAAAAAAACATCAGCTCATTGTTCTCTAAACAGGATGAAACTGTGCTGAGCCCTGAGATGTCAAGGGGCGAACATATTCAGTGCCAGAAGCCATCATTAATGTGACCAGTCGAAAGCATACTTCTCAAACAACTTTGGGCAATCTGATTTGCAAACGCCCACTGTAACCACCCTATTTCGTTTTAAGTGATGAAGGAGTGGTAATAAAATTTTTCTCATTATGATATAAATAGATCTTAAGTTTCAATTTAATCTCGCATAGCCTTGCTTCCTCAAAGGTGTTGACAAAGTTTCATTTCGTATGAAAGTGTATGAAGAAGAGATTCGAAGGTCGATCTTGCCAGAAGATGAAGGCAGATTCCCGGTGCACTGCGTCCGTTTAGCTTTAATACGATGTCCAGGTTGAAAGAGTCCTACTTCGTTTCGAGTAAAATCGGACTGAGTTTTGTCCACCATATGATTGACATCATCAGAGCGTTAACAAATATTTTTAAAAGTCTCATATCAACACTAGGCCAAGATTTAGGCTCGGTATTGCGCAAAAAATTTAAGACACGGAAACTAACATACACAAACACTCAAGTAAAAGTATAATGAATAATACTGTAAGTCTCGAAAAGCCTCCTTAAGAAACGAAAAATATTTAAAAATAATTAAATACATCCTGTGAGACCTAATTATGATGACAAATTTTGGTACAAGATGTAAATATGATTGTAATTGGACACCTTTCTTTGTTCAGCGTCTTCGTGAATTAGCGCAAATGAAGTTTTCTGGCTTTGACGGCATATCTGGTACTTACAATGAAGGCATGATGGTGAATTGAGGTCTTCTCTGTACTAACCAACATTCACAATTCGAAGGCAATATTTCTTCGGTTTCTGGTTAGGTCAATCTATGAATCCCTTCAAAACACATTAATCTATTAAAGGATTCTCCTAAAACCCATTTTCTCGTCAGCTCTACAAATCTTTTTTGAAGAGCCAAATTTGCACGCAAATTTGGTCAATTAACGCCCTGATGATATCGGATGTCGCAGTCGTTGGCCAGGCAACCAATAATTAAGAGAGATACGGCAGAAACTCGTGCACGGGCGATCAAAGTTGTATCTACAGGCAGTGCTAAAATAGCAGCCAGACTGGCGAGAGGCTCGAGGGTCGACCAAGGAAAATGCCCATGAATTACCACATTGACAAAATGTCTGATGCCCAGCCTCCCTATCGTGTCTGCTTGCTTCCCGAGGTGTTGTGAATGGGGTTTGTCAATTGATGCGTGTTTTCATGTGCCACCCGACCTAGAAGCGGCATTCAGGACTTTTGGCAGACTCAAGATTTACGCCTATCCTTTTAGAGTGAGTGAAGTCTCGATACAAATTAAATTGAGTGGTAAAGCGAAGGCAGAGCCAAATCCATGCTACGCTCGCAAATCAAGTTGGAGACACCTGCAAAGTGGGTACCTTCACGTTTGTATATAGCACTTAAAGGTTCTCGGATTGTTTGAGTAATTGCCTGAGAATTTAATAATTGAAAATGTTCGTCTCCTTAAAGCGAAAGAGAGACTCTGGCTGGTAGTTAGAAATGACTCACTCTGGCAGAGACACAAGCAAAATCATTTTTCGAGGCACCTCAGAAAATAATTTTTCCCTCGAAGGCATCGTTACCAAGCGGCTTGCTCGAGGGTTGATGGATAGAAGAGAATAAATGCAACAATCAATGTTGGTGCGTCAGTGTATGTCTAGTTGTCTAGGCCAAGCTGATTATGTCTCTACCTCGACATAATTAAGCTTCACTTGGATAAATGAAAAGTAAATGGGTTTTAATGAATCTCCCAAGATAGAAATTGCTGTGGAATTATCTCAAACTAGTAGGTTTGCCGAGTATGGTACATCCAGACTATAGAAATTAATAGTTTAGGGAATACATTGTATGTGATGAACTGTGGTAGAAAGTTGAGTAAGAATTACTTATGATCGATTGACAGATTAAAGGAGAGAGAGGGGGTTGAGCCGCCATCCAAAAGAAGACGACACAATTTGTCTGCTCAGTGATGGTTCTAAGTTCATTCACACTCGTCAACTATGTTAGATTAAGCTCATCAACCAAACGAGACGTACGAGATTACGTAACCCCAAGAGATTAGGATAGGTGGTTTCGTAACTTGACTTACACACTTACAAGCTTACATCCCATTATCTCAACTATACTTGCTTGTGAACTTACACAGTCTCGGTCAGGGCATTTTCTTGAGTCATTAAGCCTTGATGATCAGAACCCGGCATTATCCTTTTTTGATAACTATGCTTTATGACCGGTATTGCGTACAGACATTATCTATTACACACACATATGCACACACACACACGGGCAAAAGTAGCAGGAGCAGTACGGAAGATAATTAGCCAAAACCTCCTATATCTATCTATGCCTGTTCATATTTGTTTTTTTAGTTATGAGCATATATGAGAGGTAAGATAGATCTCTGATTAACTGGAAGTCTAAAAAATTTACTCAACAAAGTCCCTTTAACGGATCATAATGTCCACGTCTTTGTGCTTCTCTTCATGAACTCTACCATCGTCATTTTTTTAGATAGCTTCTTACAAACCGTCAGGCATGTAACTTATGAAAATTCTCTACATTCAAAATCTGCGAAAGTGCTTATCTTAGCCCGGTATTGGTTCTAATCAGTTCGTGTAAATTGGTTATTCAGTTAGTTGCCTTGACTTTGTGTTGACTTAAGAGTTTCGCAGGTATGTGTCCCAGCTCTGATTGCGTCGGTAATGTGATGATCGAAAGTTCTGTCCATTTTTACTTAAAACGAGTGAGGATGTCTCGTGGACTGCGTCAATCTGAATGTCGTAGTAAAGTCAAATGGCTGCAGTATGACGAAAATCAGAGGTCGTCCTCTGGTGAAATTGACCTACAAAACTACTCATTATGCACTTTCATACGAAATGAAAGCCTTCCCATCTAAACCCGTTTTTTCTTCGTATATTCAACTTTAATGCCCTTCTACTAACGGGGTATGACTGGTGGTCTCATAACCTGGCCTATACACTTACATGCAGACATTTTATTATTTCAATCAGTTACTTTCGAGCTTACGCAATCTCGGACATGCTTTTTTTGGTCCATTCAACCTTCATGGCCCGGGCATGAGATTATGCTCCTTTTTGATTACTCCGAGGCGTAGCCGGTACTGTGAACTCGAACGTATACACGTACAGATGTAATCATACACACACACACAGAAAATCAATTCCGAGTACAAGTACCTTGTTTACTATGAAGAGGGCTAACCAAATCATTCCTTATTCATTTTTTTATCGTGTTTTTGCTTTTAGTATTGGTATGTATAGCATGTAGAATTTAACCGGATTGCTGTATTGACTTTGGGTTACCTTGGGACTTCCACAAGAATTAGCTTCAGGTCCTACGATGTCGGTTATATGACGGACGGAGGTTAAGTTCGTTTTTGCCCAAAACTAAGGCGAGTATCTCGGATACAAAGACAGCCAAACGGCTGCATAAAAATTGGAATCAGCCATGGTCTTCAGGAGAGAACAAACCAGGAATCTTTTGATCGTACCCGTTTCATACTAAGCGACAGCCTTCGCAAAGATGTTATCTCAAGAGATTCATCGAAACCCAGCCACTCTTTGTATATACCTTTTACAACTGGCCGAGTTGATGGAGGTACCAAGGCAAACGATAAGCAATCACCTAGCTGCTTCGTCTATTTCCTGGGCATATCTGGAGGCACGACTCTTTCATCGGGTCTGTCAAGACGAACTGGTTTTGTTCAACCGAAGCCTTGAAGTTCTAGGCTCGGCCAACTGTACCCTCCCAACCGTGGCCTATTGCCGCGCCGTAAATCGGCTTCTCGGACGGGCGAATAATCTAGAACTGGACACAAATCAGGGCATGGTGACTGAAATCTGGCCCAATAACCGACCATCAATCGATAGGATAGAATCTGTTTGTATGCCTCTCGTCTTCCTCTCCCCCAGCCTGGCCAGAAGGCATACTCACACATGAAGTCACCGGCACACGGTCACGCATGATCGTATGCACACATGAACGCCTGTGTACACATCAGTGGTGCATGCATTTTGTACAGGAGGCAGCCAGTCAGCCCCACTACTGCACCCATCCCCCATTCATACTCTGGCCCCCTTTCCCGGCCGTAGTGATAGCCCAATCTCTCAGTACAACCTGCTCCTGCAACCTTGAGCAGTCAACATGTCAGACTGTGGCAGACAAGACCCGTCACACAGTACGCCTCCTGCATAAGCAAGCAAG